CTCAAGGAGTTTTCATTCTCATGACTCACCCTACTTTTCAATTCAATAAACATTTAAGTACCTACTACCTGCCAGGCACTATGTAAGCACTAAGGATACAAAAGGTGGCAACAGATAACTCCTGCCCTCAAAGAGCTTACAACCTACTGGGGGAGACATGCAAAAAATACATACACAAAACAAGCTTATATACAGGACAAACAGGAAATAATTAAAAGAGGGGAAGCGCTGGAATTAAAAGGAGGTGGGAAGGCTTCCTGGAGAAGGTGGCGTTTTAGTTGGGATTCAAAGGAAGCCAGGGAGGTCAGTAGTCAGAAGAGAGGAGGGAGAATGCTCCAGGCATGGAGGACAACCAGGGGAAACGTCCAGAGGCGAGAAGTGGAGCGTCCTGTTCGTGGAACATCGAGAAGGCCAGTGTCAATGGATCAAAGCGTACATGTTGGGAAGTCAGGCGCCAGAAGACTAGAAAGGCAGGAGAAGCCTGGCTCATGAAGGGCTCTGAAGGCCAAGTAGAGCACTTTGTATCCGTTCCTGGAGGTGATAGGGAGCCACTGGAGTTCACTGAGTGGGATATATTGTAGTGGCTGAATAGAGGATGGACTGGAATGGGCAGAGGCTTGAGGAAAGCAGACCCACCAGCAGCTATTGCAATAGCCCGGGTGAGAGGTGACGAAGGCACCAGGGTGGCGGCTGTGTCAGAGCAGAGAGGAGTGGCAGAGGTGAAATCAGCAGGCATTTGCAAGAGCTTGGATACGGAGGGTGGGAGATAGCGAGGGATCCAGGATGGCGCCTAGGCCGAGAGCCTGAAGGACGAGTACATCGTGTTCCAGACATTTTGAGCATCAGGTGTCTGCTGGACGTCCAACGTGAGATGTCCGAAAGGCAGTGAGGGATGCAAGACCAGAGTTGGGCGGAGCTTGTGGCAGAAAAGGTAAGTTTGAGAATCTGAGAACAGAGATGGTGATTAAATCCATGGAAGCTGATGAGATCACCAAATGAAGCTGTAACAGAGGGAGAAGAGAAGAGAGCCCAAGAGAGAGCCCTGGGTGACACTGAGTTTAGAGGGCAAGATCAGGAAGAGGCTCCAGCAAAAGACAGAGAAGGAATGAATGGTCATCTAGGTAGGAGGAAAACCAGGAAAAAGTGATGTCCTGAAACTCAGAGAGAGGAGAGAGTGATCAATAACGTCAAGGGGCTGCTGAGAGAAGGAAGACTGAGAAAAATCACTGGTAACTGTGCACAGAACAGTCTCGGTGGAAGAAGGATTATAAGGGGTTAAGAAGACGGCGACAGCAGTGACGGCAGAGACAGTGAAGGTATCTACAATGGGCAGAAACCCTCCGATATAAAATGGCTCCAACCTATCCTTCCAGCCCCTTCCTGCTTCTCTCTCTTCCTCAAAAACAGCCTGGCATCTCCCCCCTCTGGGGTACTGGGTAGGCCAGAGTAAGAATGGGACTTCAAGTCTCCATAAACTACCTTGAGTCAATGTAAACAGCAGAAGAGGTTCCCACTACTCCTAGGGAACACTTGCACATGACCCCAGGCCATCCGTGACCCCCAGTCTTCTTTGTTCTGTTTCTATATAACACCTAATCTGACCTGCGGCTGGTACTAAATCGTGAGTAAACTCCCTTAAAAAAAACCTAACAAATCCTAATTAACCTATTATACTACCAAACTGCCACAGCCCCTGCCCGTTTTCTTTGGCATCTCAGTATTGTCTCAGAGGGTCTGTGTACCCTAATTGGCACATCAGGGCAGATCAGCCCTGTTACATCTGGTCTCACAAATGGCATGGCTGGCAGAATACTCTGCTCCCTACGACATCTTGTGTACTTGCATCTGGACTGGCTGCAAGCCCCCCTCACCTCTGCCTCACAGAATCCAGCCCTTTCTTCAAGACAATTTGCATACCAATTGCTACATATGCCTTTCCAGACTAGATCTCTTCTATTTGTTTACATTTATTTGGTAAACATTCAGTCTGTATTTACTTACATACGCACGTTATTCGGCTCTCAGCCCCCTCCCTGCAATGTAAGCATTTGAGAGTTGGGATTGTTTCCTTCAGGGAATCTTTATACCCTCAGCACCTAGTAAAGCGCCTGGCACATCGAAGATGGGTAACAGACACTTGTTCACTGATGGATGATAAAGAAGTCCAGACAGGCGAAACCAATCACCAGCTCAGCAGTGCCTCCCTCCTCACCTAAAACGCACCACCTCTGCCAAGAAGGGAAGTAAATACGCTGTCCCCTTTGATGTCGTGCTGGCCCCATGGCACTGAGGCTATTTCCGATGTCATTCCATGTGATCTTCCATTCTACTACGGGGGATCGCTGTACTCACTAGTTGGGCTGTGACCTCAGAACTCCCTGAAACTCCCACGCCTGGTTCTAGTTCTGCTTTCAGGAGCCATGGAACAAGCCCAGTCTCTCCTTGGCAGATGCTGGGCAACATCTGGAATGGTGCCAGTTTGTCCTCTCTTCTCCTTCCACCATATTTTAGGGGGTTCAGCCTCCTGGGCCCTCAGCCCTCAACTGGACAAGAAGATTGCCTTGCTTGGCTATGAAATGAAAAGTCAGAATCAGTGGTCTCCAGGGCCCCTGCCAATTCCAAAGCTATGATCCTATCAGGTTTCTCACGGTAAACCCTAGCCTGCTGCCAGTTTTGTCCCACCTGGTGGTGCCTTGTTACCGTTCAGTCATTTTCAATAGTGTCCCACTCTTTGTGGCCTCATTTGGGGTTTTCTTGGCAGAAATACTGAAGTGGTTTGCCATTTCCTTCTCTAGCTCATTTTACAGATGAGCAAACTGAGGCAAACAGGGCCACACAGCTAGTAAATGTCTGAAGCTGGATTTGAACTCCTGTTTGTAAGGAGCAGTGAAGGAGCCAATAGGGAGAAACTGAAAATTAGGGATAGGGATTATAGTGAGGGAAACCTACCAGGGAATACTGAGTGGGAAAGGGAGGAGCGAGAAGGAAGGAGAAGGGAGGGAATAGGACCAAAGATGCACATAAAGGGGTTGGCCTTGGCAAGAAGAGGCTCTTCTATCAAGAGTGAAGGAAGAGACAACGCCTGAATATGTTTGAGTGATGTGAGATGAGGCGTGGAGAGAAGATGGAGCTCCTACTGAATGGCCCACTTTGTTCAGTGCAATCTGAGACACGGACCTCACAAGGAAGCCCCTCAGCAAAAGTTTTTGTTTCTGGTTTTTTTTTTGCTTTTTGGTGAGGCAATCAGGATTAAGTGATGCCCAGGGTCACATAGTAAGTCTGAGGCTGGATTTGAATTCAGGTCCTCCTGACTCCAAGGATGGAGCTCTATCCACTGCGCCACCTAGCTGCCCTCAGCAAAAGTTCTTGCCTTACACTACCTCCATTTGCCAACCTGGCTACAGACTAACATTCTCCAACTCTCGATGGTCCTGTCACCACTGCACCCCTTCACATAGGCAAGTTAATGCCAGACTCAAACACAGAGTCTTCTCCACTGAAGCACCCCATCACCACTCCCTTCTGGAGGCTGAGAGGTCACCGACTGTCCTGCAGTACAAGCCCAGACTCCCTATGGGATAGACTCCTTCCCTGGCAAAATGCTACCAAAGCCAGAGGAACTCACAGAAAAGTACCCATGGGGTGATGAAGCTATGTGCCAACCAAGCCGGTACCCTAAGGCCTTCCCACACATCACATAGGCTGAGTTCCGCCTTGGCCAAGCCCAGCCTTGTTTTCTTCTCCCCTCCCCGCTCTTCCCCACTATGCTTAGGGTGTTCTGGGAACTGTCTCCCCTCCATTCTGTCAGTCAGTGTTCAGAGTCTTTCCTCAACAGTCCTTCCCACTCTTGTCTTACTTGTCCCAGGCACTTAAATTGCTGGTTACGGCTCTGATAAAGAGTAACTTTTTTGGTAGGAAATTATGCCAATATGTCTTTATGATTTATTTCCAAAAGTGCTATAATGGCTATGATCCACTGAAAATGGTCATGGAGAATGGTCATGTCAAACTCAAACAGAAATGAGGGCCACTAATTTGTACATAGGCTCACTATAGGCTGCGTGTTGACTTAGTTTTAAAACGTAATGTTACCTATGTTTTATTGTATTTTTATTTACTTTGTTAATATTTCCCAATTACATTTTAATCTGGTTCAGGCCCCACTTGGAAGTGCTGTGGGCCCCATGTTTGATAACTCCTGGGTAGGCCATAAGAAATACAGATGAAGAAAACACAAAAAGTTGAGATTAATCTTGCCCTAATCAACACATGACATTTTCTTTTTTTTTGCAATTGGGGTTAGGTGACTTGCCCAGGGTCACACAGCTAGTTAAGTGCCAAGTGTTTGGCCTGAGGCCAAATTTGAACTCAGGTCCTCCTGACTTTAAGGCTGGTGCTTTATTCCCTGCACCACCTAGCTGCCCCCACATGACATTTTTACAAAGAAACTGATTGTACATTCTATCACTGTAGTGATTTCAAAGAGTTTAGTAGAGTAGAAAATACACTGGCTTATGAGCCAGAAGACTTGGGTATGAGTCCCAGGTCACCCTCTGGCAGGTGACTTCACCTGTTCAGGGGCATCATCCATAAAATAAGAGAATACTGGACTAGATTTCTACAATCTCTTTTAACTCTAATAGTCTAGAAGTTTATTCTCTCAAAACCAAGAAAATTTTATCATGACCAACTTAAAACTGCTTCTAATAATTATGATGAGGAGATTGGTTTACACCTTACCAAAGAGTATGTTGCAAGAAAGCAGTTTTTTTTTTTCGTAAAAATCATTGAACATCCATTCTCCAAAGAGGTTATGATTTGTGTTTCTAATTCTGTGAGTTTTTGTTTTTGCTGCAATTTGCAAACTAATAATTTTTAACAATTTAATAATAATCAGTAAAGACCTGCTTGAGGGGAAAAATAAAATTATTTTCCCATCAGAACTAGTGCACACAGATATCAAGCTGACAAATTTCAGCAAACTTTGTTATTCTTCTTACCTAACAAAGGATGTTCAGAAGACAAATCCTCTCCTCTGCCCACAGTTATAGCTGCCGGAGACAGAGTAGGTGGTGGTGGGGTTCTGTCCATGCGGACACATTCATCTGATTCTTCAGGCATTTCTTCCTCACACACATCCTCTACTTGGTAAACCTATGGAAGGCAGAACATTGGTTTAGCCTGACTTCTGGCTAATATTTCTATCATATAATTTTAAAGATTGATTAACTTCATTAAAATAAAACTATATAAATACAAAATCTATTTTGCTATTTTCAAAGGTTGGCTGAAAAAAATTGTGAAAATAACTGAATGGAATTCCTTGAGATACTGAATGATAATTCACTAAAAGCAGGTGGTAGACTGATAGCCATGCTAAAATGTATCATGGTTTCAGAAAGGATGATGGTCAGGGCAGCAGATTATTTTTCATGTTGAATATCATTTTTTTCCTAATAGGAAGTACAGTACTTTAGAACCCTTTTTAAAAAAGAAAAAGAAAACAGGGGAAAAAACACCTTACCATTCCCAAACCCAATACTCAAGACATCTAAGCATGGTTACGTGGTAAAGATACACTGCATCTGGAATCCACATTTGAAATCTAGACTACTGCAGAAAATTTTCTACTTTTAACTAGTTTAACTTAGAATACAAGTTTGTGCTTGGCACATATGAAACGCTTAATAAATATCTGTGGACTGATGGACAGTTATTATGTCTCAAAATAGAGCTTCTAGATGTTTGGTTTTTTTTTTTTTAACGTCAATATAAGCTGGCCAACATGATCCAGATTATGTGGGAAAACAAAAAAAACCCATACTCTCAAGGAGGGGACGACCAGGAGGATGAGGCTTAAGCTAAGAACCATTCCAGCATCTTCTCTTCTTAATGATTATGACAGCTAAAGCATAAACCAATGTAAGACATCTCAGAAGTTCTAAAAATATGTCAGTGTTGATAGAAAGTCATTCATTTCTGAAAAGATGCTTCTATACCCTTTTATTATTTCATGTCCTCAAGGGTCCAATTAACAAAACTTATTGCATCTGTTAAGGAGAAAACAGCTGTTCTTGAAGTCATAGAGAAATATCTAATCTATACCACTGATAATATTTACATATTTAAATACTTCATTACAGACAGAGAAAAAAGCTTTAAAGAATTAAATTACTATGTTATCAAATTATAAAAAGTTTACTGAAAAGAGATGCAGAATCACTAAGAACAAATAAAATTGCAATTTTAGATAATCTTTATTTTCAGAGAGAATTTCCTTAGGCTGAGAAAATTTAGTTTCTTCATTTGAAATAAAATTTTATTTTACCTGTTTAACACTGGAGTATTGAAATTTTTTTTAAAGTTACAAGACACTGACTGATTGTATCAATGAAACAAAAAAGAACATTGAATATGGAGTCAAGGGCATGGGTTTAAATTTCAGCTCTGCTGCTTACTGCATATACAGGTGACTTTGGACAAGTCACTTTCTCCTTTGGGCCTCAGTTTCCTTATCTTTAAAATGAGGTGGCTGAACTACATGACCCCTACAGTTCCTTCAAGTTCTACATCCAGTGATCCTAAAGCAACTCTCTCCCTTCTTTTACCCAGAGAACTTTTCTTAATTTGGCTTACAAAAGTATGTAGTTGGTTTTTTGAATAGCACTCACTCCCTCAAAGCTTTCAAAACTTTCTCCAAAAACGTTTTATATTAAGCCACACATAAAAGTTTTCCAATCCACTCATGTGAAAACCACAAATGACACAGACATTACGTACACCTTCAAATCATCTTGCTAAAATGTTTTGTCATGTAAAATATCAAATTAGGTGTAAAAAGGTCCCATGATGTTCCAAAGCTTAAGTATAACTTAGATTAAAAAAAAGTGTAACTTAGATGTACTTAGTGTGACAGAGGTTGTAAAATGTAATTTATGATGACATATTTAACTATAACTTTGATGGATTAAAAAAACCTTCAAATAGTCATGCTGACCTAAGATTTAAGATGTCTCATGTTTTCCTTTTTTCTAGATAAATTAAAATAAATCAATAAGATCAATTTGTATACTACAATCTATAATTAAGATAAAAACTCAGTTATTTTCCGATATGTTCCAATACATCTGAAATCAAAGTAGAACCAAATATCATCTAATACACTGTCTCCAAATTAGACATTAGTTCCATAAATTTCAATGTCCTTTCTATGTGAAAAACTTTCATATATCTGGTTATACACATGCCTATATTTAGTGAACTGAATCAAGGATTGCATAGACCTCTCATTTCAAATTCCAAACAATGCCCTGGAGGAGATGGCCACCTAAGAGGCCAAGAGAGGAACAGCAGGGGAAGTTTAAAATTAACATAACAATTTAACATAAAAAAGGAAATCCTCCACGAAAGAGAATAAGGCAACACATGTCACTGGATGGCAGTTAATCCACACTCAGAATCAACTCAATCTGCACCCCTCTCCCTACCAAAAAAAAAAATCTGAAAAAAATGTTGAGTCAATAGTAATTAGATCAGTATTAGTAGTAAAGCATTTACTAAATTTAATCTATTTTCAACTCACTAATTTTACACTTTAGTATTTCTTTAGTTGTTTTATCTTCCCATGACCATGATCTTTTTTAAACTGCTGAAACATTCTCTTCAATCCCTTGGCATGCTATTCAGAGCAGCTGCTGTGTGGGCTTTTTATTTAAGAGTTACAAATGTAAAAGTTGGGTCATGCACGTCTCATTTTAAAACATGTTGAAAGGGAAGGAATGGAAAGAGCCAAATTGAGAAAATCCCACAGCCCAAAGAACATATTCTGAATTAATCCAACAAAATGAACATTTATACTATTTTGCACTTGTTACAATTACCTGTACTTTCTTTTGAACCTCTCATGTAAAGGCATGATAAGTTACTGGCCAATCAGAATGAAGAAGTGCTAGGAATGTTAAAACACTGGGCACGATTTCAAAAACCAAAGCAAAGAAAATCATGAGATACGCTATTTGTGCAAGGCTTATGGAGGTATACAAAAGAAAAGAAACAATGGTCTTCCTCCTAAGTTAATTGAGGAAAAGCTAGATTTCTGGTAGGCCAGTCATTTACACGTTTCTGTTATGAAGATATTGAGAACTAATAACATTCTCCAATAAAATGGACTCCTCCTATCTGTCCTTCTAGATAAGCTAAAAATATTTGTTCATTAAATCTAAATTGTGTACCTTCCCACATGTCATTCTACCCAATGAAAAAGAAAACCTTCACTTATTTTCTTCTTTTCTAAGTAAACCTTTTCAACAAGCATATTGCATTTATTTTAAATATTTCTTACCTTTTAAATTTTTCATACCCTGTATGATGTAAATATACCTCTCCAGTTAAATATTTTGAAACAATCAGAAAAATGTATTCCAGACAGACATGTGCATTTTAGGGGGAGGAGGTGGTATAGGTGATAGAAGGTAAGAGAGAAGTAAGTATAGGAATAAAATAAAAAATTAGGGAACTTGAGGGAAATAGACAATTAAAAAGATACTCCATGAAAATCTATAGCAATATAACGAGTATACCAAAGATAATAGAAAGGCCTATTATTTTCATGGAAAAAAGTAACTAGATCATCAGAAAATAGGTGACAGAAAATATGAGAAATAATGCTAGGAGAGGAATTTTTTAAAGTAAAAAACTATTAGCAAGAATAGGGCCAAAAGAAAAGGTTTGGGGGTTTTTTTTTTGTTTTGAAAGACTTAATTTTTTTTTCCTGAGTCCATTTTTTAGAACCAATAAGGACAAACTCTTTGCCTCATCATTACTCTTGAACTACTAAGACTTGATACTTCTACCCTGCATCTACTCCCCTAAGATTTATCATGACAAAAACAAATGACGATAAAAAGTACAAGGAAATTTTATTTTTAAATTGAAAAGACTAATCAGATATGACAAATAAGCAAAAGTAAGTCAAATTAAAATTTATTCACATTTTTGTGAAAATATATACCTTTTGGTTCATTTCTAGATTTTTCTCATATTAAATTGTACTTCAATTTAAAATTTTTTAAAGCGAAGAGCTGTGTATAAAGGAAGGAGAGAAAATACCAGTTACCTGCTCAAGTCAACTAAGATCAGTGCAAGTGGCCCTAGTAAAGGGGCTCTCAATTTCAGTCCTAGAAACCACAAGTAGGAAGTTTTCCGCTAAAGAACTCTGAGTCTGCAACTCCTTCGTTTTCTGATGTATATTTCTAAGTTTTCAGAAAAAATGACTTATTTTTAAAATTTAGCTGACTCTAATAAGAAGCTTACTTTTTTCTAGTGTTGGAATTTAATTGTTTTTTGATGACTTCGTATGTGAATCCAGAGGCCAGTGCAGACTGTTATGAAATGAAAAACAAAAAAACAAACCTCTTATAGAGAATTATCTAAAGAAATCAATGTCTAAAGTCAACTTCCTTCTCGTTAAACATTAAATTTTAAAATATTTTGAAATGTTAAAGTTGTGTTTGAATTATTTTCCATCTATTGACAATCCCTCAAAAGTCTGTGCCTCACATTTTTGTTTGTGCCAATGCTCTCTCCCCAATCTTTACTGTTTAATTTACTAAAATTTATGAGATTTTTTTAATACTGTGTTTTTACTTTTAATGAGAAATAGGAAAAAAAAAGTTGGGATCTTTTCCCCCACTTTACAATATCCACTTCACAAAATTATGCCACAGATACAAACGTACTGACTCTACCCCCAAAACAAGTGCTCTTAGAAGGTGAGACTGCAGAATTTGTACAACTAAGGTTAGCTCTATGAATCATACGTTTAAGAACACACAAGCCAACAGAAGGGATCTATGAAGGATAATCACCTTAAGAGAAAAAACTTTGTGCAGATGACACTGGTTCAAATGCATTCCCTTGGGGAAAAAAAATCAACTCTGTAAAGATAGCAGATGGATTTGTTTAAATAGTAATAAAATGAATGATGGACTTTAATAACCACCACAAATTATTAAGCATGCAACTGTTCTACAACAGACAACAACATTATGTCCTTACAGTATGTTTGTGGACAGTCAGTGACATCTAGAGATGGCAAGCTGGTTTGGTTTGGTTTGATTTGGAACTTGGACATTTTAGCTCTTGGGACACCAGAGAAGGCAGGAGAAGTCATTTCTACTTTTAAGTTCTGTGAGAAAGTGAAAGAGCTCCCGAGGGCTTACCACTGGTGGCTCAACGGGGGCAGGTGGCTGCACTTGCAGGTTGACCGCAACAGTCTGTGGCGGGGGAAGAGTCTGAAAGGGCAGCTGGACCAAGGCTTCTGCCGCGGGAAGCTCCTCTTCGGACACCAAAGCGTTCTGCACCAAGACCTGGCCCTGGGATAGAATTTCAGGCTGCACAGACTGCAAGGGCAGTGCTGGGACCTGGGCTGGAGGAGATGTCGACAACTGGGGGGGTGCTGCCAGTGGGATCGGAGGAGACTGCAGTGTGGAGTACGGCTGATGTGCGGTGGGAGAGACAATCTGAGGCCCCGGGGACACCAGGGAGGACTGCTGGACGGCCCCCAAGTGCACCACAGGGGAGGCTGGAAGCGGGAGATGAGATGGAAGATTCAGCGGCTGGGCGGCCGACTGCACCTGATTAGTGGGGGGCTGCTGCAAGCTCGGCCCTGGCTGGAGAGCTGAGGACACAAGAGGATGGGGCTGAATAAGTGCTTGTGGATGAATGATGATCGCAGGAGATGGGCTGGGAGAATGGGGCGGTGGGGGAGAAACCACAACCGACTGCTGCGCTGCCTGGGGCTGGGGAGGGGACACCGGGAGCGGAGGCGGGTGGCTCTGAAGGGGTGAACAGTGCTGGGCCTGGGCGCTGCTCGGCGCCGCTGCCGGGAGGCCGTGGCTCGGCACGGGTACACAGTGCTGGGAGGCGGGGGGTTCCTGACTCGGACTCTGAAGGGGGAGTGGCTGGACTTGCTGCTGCTGCTGCTGCTGCTGCTGCAAAATCAGCTGGTGATGGGACACCTTGGAAGGTGGTGAATGAAGAGGAATCTGCTGATGTTTTATTAGAGAATGAGGCTGAATTGGAGAATATGAAGCTGTGAGAGAAAGAAATGACAATCAGTACTGATCTCCAAACTATCTCACAACACTACAAAAAGTCTAAAGAAATCCTCCTAGTTTTCACACCACAAAGCCAGACTCCCAGATAAGGGCGACACGGAAATATCACTTTAAAAAAACTAATAACAGTGAAGACTCCAATGCAGAGAGCTCCATTTTGGTAAATTTCAAAGTAAAATTTAAAAAAATAAATGGTTCAAAATGCAAACCAACAGATGGACTGGGCTTACACTTGTCAAATCTCACACAAGGTCACTGGAATAGTTATACTAAATTTGGGCAAGTTTTAGAATACTGTCTATTTTTTGCTACCACTGAATCAAGGCAAGACATAAAAAATAGTTTCAAAGTCAGCAAAGATATTGTACTCCCACATATATCTTAAATATCATCAGGATACTTCCTAATCTGTGTCTGAATAGAACTCTAGCTATTATTCAAGGTAAGTAAGTACCTAATATGTGGCTTCCCAATTTGCAAATTTTTCAGTTTTGGGCCAAGGTCCCTATTCTTTTAGGCCATGAAAGGGAATCCAATTAAAGAAAAAAATTAATTTTTCAAAAATAATTATGAACCTAGCATGAATACTATGGGAAAGATCAGCAATACAACTGAAATAAATGTAAGCTTTTTAAGAGCTGCATAATCTCTATTTCAGATCAAGGAAAGAGATAATGAAGTAGAAGCCCATGCCTTTTTTTTTTAAACCCAACACAGAACAAGGCCTAGAACCTAGAAGGCATTTAATAAATATTTGTTGGCTTGATATGAATTTTAGTGTAGATTCCTGCCACTGGGAAAATTTTAAATCTGTTTTTATGTGGCTCTTTTTGTCCCCCCAAAACAAACCACTCACAATCTAACTAATGACTCAGGACTAACCTCAGCTGAGGGGTCCCTCTCATTCTGCCTCAATGGCACAGTACCTGTCCCACAAAACAGATTTTAAGTGCAATGCTTCCTATCTAAACACTGAAGAAGTGATACATAGCTCTCAGTGGAGAAGAAATTTAAATGCTAGCTTAATTACAGATAAATATTCCAAAGTAAGATCTTATCTAAAAATTTAGTATATAATTGATACAATTCTATGAATATTATTTTCATATTCAATTATGTTTGCGATAATAGATAAATGAATGTTCCAAACATTTTCATGTTTATAATTTATTTCGATTTGCACTTGGTATAATTTAAATCTCTTGATAGTTTATGAAGAAATAACATCTTGAGAAAGAGGTATTTAGAAGGTCCAACAAAAATCTAATTACTTAAACAAAAAAATCCGACACCTATCACTGAATGAAAATTTCCACACAGCCACCAAACCAGGATTTAAAGCTAAATGAGAGAGAGGGTCTAGACCTGTGATTTCATTAATATGAGGAAACTCCCTCTACCCAGGCAAGTCAGTCTCTTCTCTACATCTTAGAGCCTCAGAAAGCTGCCTGGGGTCACAGCTAGTCTATGCCAGAGATCACGACCTGGGATGGCAGCTCTTCCTGACTCAGGGTCTACTGTCTGCTCACTAGGCCCTCGATTCAAACTAAGACTTTAAAAAGTGTATTTTTTTGACACAAGACATTACAGGAGTCAAGAATTGGAACAGATCTCAGAAAACATGAAATTAAAGGTTCTGGATTTACACCCTGACAACCTCTTCAAGAACAAACAATTCAATGTGACTGTTTCATAAACACACACACAAAAGATCAATTACGAAAATCCAAATTTCCATTACTTAAGAATTCCAACAGGCATTAGGATTTACTTTTAAAATTTAATATAAACAAGATGGGAAGTACTTAAGTGCTTACAAAAACAAATCTTAAGCAAATATTTACATAGAAACTATTTCTAGATCAATAATAATTTTTTCTCCTCATTAAAGCTTTTCCCATAGGCCCACTGGTGAAGTCTATCCCATACTGGAGTGTATCTTAAACTTTTAATATAAAAATAGTCTCTAAGAACAAGCCATATGCAGGGTAAAAGTAGGAACATTTATTTTGGGTTCCTAGAGAAATTCTCACCCTCAGATCAGTTTCCCACCAGCGATGGGTGGTAGCCAAATCAGGACATAGCTGCTGCCCAAGTAGAAGTGAAACCCCCATCAGTGACTCAGTTTGCTGTAACTGACAGTTGTGTAAACCCTTCAAAGAGAATTTTATCATTCTGAATGAGTAAGTGGTTGTAGCTTTGGCTCTTTTATTTATCAATGCACTGTGGTAGGAAATGAGGGGTTCCTATAAACAAGGAGATCTGAACCTCAGCTGCCAATGAGCATGACTGGCCCCCCTGACTTCAAGTTGTTACCTGATTCTCCTGACTGATGTTCTCACCCCCTCCTCCAGGTCCCTATTATCACCCCAATGGGATGTGTGGCCTATAACTGATAGGATTACCCATCTATGAAAGGAGAAAGGGATACAAAGAGGTGCCACTTTTTTCCACATTCTCAATCAGATGGCTTTCTTTTCTTGAAGACAACTCTTCTCCACGCCCCCTCCCCCAGCTTTGCTGCTTTTACTGATGATGAGATGGGGAAGGGAAGTGACACAAAATTAACCTAAATTCTATTCCCCCTACCCAAGATCCTATTTGAAATGTTTCCAAAGCAGTCACTGAAAGAACACTGTCTCCCTGTTGCTGGTATTTAACATTTGTCTGGATGACAGCCATTTTCCCCATCAGTCTTCTGACTGTCTTCACCAGGGGAAACTCGTTTGTCCTTGAGACTGTTTTTTGGGGTGAAGGTAGAAAGGAAGGGGCAGGAAGGCAGGGAACAGCAGTCTGTACAGGAAGGAGAGACCGAAACCTATTTCTGAACAGAAGTCAGGTCTTAGTTATACTACAGGTCAATTTGTTTAAAAAGTCAAACAGACCTGTGATCTCATTAGTGTGGGTATTCCCTCCAATCCTGGGCAACTCTTGTCCATGTCCTCCCACAAGTTAGGAATATGACAGAAGTGTTGTCCTACTAATATTATACTTGTTAGGAAAATACTGATAATGCAAAATATCAACTTTACTGTTCTAGTATTGTGACTTTAATTGTTGGACTTCTAAGTTCCCTTTTTTCAAAATGTAGTTATTAAGATGTTTTCAGTTTATGAAACTGTTATTAAAAGGAGATGGTGATTTAAAAGTACCATTATTATTCAAAGAATGAATGTACTATGTTTTGCTAACTGCTAAGAAGTATGTCAGCAACTGAAAGCACATAAGCTAAAACCAGGAAATGGAGAGATTTTTCTTTAACATTAACAAATACAATTTGCAGAATGTAAGTTTCAGTTATGATCAATGTCCATTAAAAAAAGAACTGATTTAAAAACTATCTTTACTGATATTCAATGAAACTCTGTGCAAAACATGAGTGTCTGTATCAGTTACAAATGAAAAGGTTAAATGGAACAATTCCTCACCAAACTTCAAACATTCAAATCGCTTCTGACAGTCCATTAACAGCTTCATTTTACATGAATATCCACTTTAACCAAAAGTCTCATCCTACCTGGGGCTATTAACTGATGGATACTTGACGTCCGTGTAACAGCTGTACTTCGAGATTCCAAACTGGGACTCTCTCCTTTCTTATTGCTTTCTGGAGAAGCGTCTCGTTGACTGGTTTTGGAACTGGTTACTGTCGTTTTATTATGACAAATGGTCAATGACTGAGCTTGACTACTGTTTTTTGGTGGGCCATTCTGCGAACTAGATAATACACCCAACTTCTGGCTGCATAACGTTAAATTCTGAACCTAAGAGTCACATAACAGCAAGTTCAGATAAAAGAATATCAACAACACAGATACAGTAATAATTGCTAGTAAACTTGTAATGACTAAATATTAATACTCTGCTTTTCAATCAGATAGTTTCGTTTAAAAAACTAGATAAGCCATAAAGGAAGAAGTACAATAAAACAGCCACTTCTTGAATAAAAAGGATTTTTTTTTAAGAAACAGGTGAAAGAAAAAAATTATCAAGATGAATTTGGTGAAAACAGCATAATTTCTAAATTAGCAAAAAAATGAGTTTAACAACAACTCAATATGTTGCACTTTAATATAATTAAACACAAACACCTGTAATGTTTATAGGATAGGACTGCCTTTTATTCTATATTTTCTAACAACAACAATAATGATAGCTAATGTTTATACAGTGCTTACTATGTGCCAGGCACTGTGCTAAGCACTTATAACAATTATCTCATCTGAGTCTCACAACCCGCCTGGGAAGTAGTTTCTATTATTATCCCCATTTTATGGATGAGGAAACTGAGATAAACAGAAATTAAGTGACTTGCCCAGGGTCACACAGCTAGTTAAGTATCTGAGGCCACATTTGAACTTAGATCCTCCTGAGTCCAAGCCCAGAGCTGCCTGCACCACCTAGCTGCCTCTTCTATTAAATGCCTTAATAAGTTAAATATATAATTAAATTTATCAAAAGAACTTTCAACTAACTACCTTTTAAGATTTTTTTTAAATGAAGGAATTAATTTAACAACTCCTAGAGGTATGTTTTTCATTTTTGGAAGTAACTTTCATAAACTGATCAGATGATATTCCCAAGATAGGGAAACTCAGTTCTTAAGACAGGGCGGGCTGAAGAACCCCAAGAGGCTGGATGACAAGTCTTGAGGCCTCTGACGTTGCTAGCAACAAACACAAATTTACACACTCAGAAACCCTGCCCCACCCCCCAGGAGCCCCTGCCCTCCCCAAGCAGTCCTGCCTCATACAACTGTCTGTTGTTGTCGTTGCCGTTCAGTAATTTTCCAGACATGTCCGACTCTTCCCGACCCCTCTGGGGTTTTCTTGGCAAAGATACTAGAGTGGTTTGCCACTTCCCCCTGCAGCTCATTTTACAGATGAGGAAAGGAGGCAAACAGGATGAAGTGACTTGTCCAGGGTCTCCCAGCTACTAAGCATCTGAGGCAACGTCTGAACTCAGGTCTTTCTTACTTCACCGCACCAACCTGCCCCTCAGTACAACTGTGTCTTATGAATCTGTGGTAACACTGGCCCTCAGGGGAACTGAGGAAGTGAATGTTACGGAGCTGCTTTACAAATATGCTCTTTTCTTGTTTCTTATGTATGACCTTTCTCCTCAATTAGATCATACATTCAAGAGCAACGAATTCATCTTTTCATTCCCTTGCATCCGTTCAAATATCTATTCTGTGTAAGCCTCTAATAGGGTGCCCACAACACAAAAGGCACGGAGTACTTGCTAACTGACAAGGCTAACTGTGTAACTAATCAACACCGTGATGTTTTCAAAGATTTTCTCTTTCAGTGAGCCCTTACAAAGGTTCTTTTGTAATTCATAAATTTTTCAAAATTATCTTAGCATTTGATAATAAACGAACCTAGAGTTAACTGTATCTGTGTTAACAGTTTTGACTTTGGAACGTACTTAGTGGCCTTTTGATTTCTCCTAGCAGACTTACATGTCTAATTATAGTTTCTCAATTTAACACCAAAATTAGCTCATATCCCCTCTCCCCCACCCCGGCCAAAAGTATATATACATATATATACAGGCATTATATATACGTGGTGAAGCACTCAAAAATATACTTGGGAGGAACAGCTAAGGAAGAGAAACAAATCTGAAATTAAGGTTTGTATAAACTAGATACTCTATAACACAGATAATCAAGAGATGGCTATCTGAAAAAAATTAATGAAAAAAATTACAGGCAAACTAGATCACTAAATTAGAATGCTAATTAACATTCTGTTAATTGTGGATAATTGACACATGCCCATTTCCACAGGACAGTCAGACTCTCATCTTCCTTTTTTCCCTACTTAGCTTTCTAATTTTATTTATATTTTTGATTTTTAAAATGTCTTCAAAATTTATATTTACATGTGTGTATATAACATTTGTGTTATTTCTGGCTTGGAAATATAGAAATGATGTATTTTAAGCATGACTTCTAAACTATGTGACAAACGAATTTCATCATGTCAATATGACAATCAGATTTTTGTGGCATAACTTCATTTCTGGAGAAAAAATTCTGCTTTTCTCAAATAAAGAAGAAATCTTCCCTTCTTTCCCCCCAAAATGGACTATCAACATTACTATAGTATAAGATTCTCTTTATTTCTGCAAAAAAATTGGGGGGGAGTATATTAGTTAATAATACCACCTTACATGATAACACTTCATACTTTTTTAAAGATTGTAATCCTTTTAAAAATCACTTGTACATCCATTACTTTGCTTGATTCTAACAAATTAGTGAAAGTAGACAGGATATAGGTAATGGTATCCTTTCCCCACCCCTCTCCAGATTAAAAGAAAAAAGATACTATAAGAGTAGCTGTAATTATTGATGTAATTAGTGGTAGCCTGGGCTAGATCTCAGGTCTCCCGATTCTTAACGAAATACTATTTCCTCCTAAAGAATCTCTTCGATGTCTCGCTAAGTTCTCAAAAATGTGTAAAAATGTGTAAAAAGTGTAAAGGTAGCCAGGACCAGAGTGTAAGTCTCTGGATTCCTAATGAAATACCTCCAACTTAAATTACACTGCTCACTTCTCACCTCAATATCCAGGACCCTGTCTTCTATAAACATACTCCTTCTTAATAAAATTAACTCATGATTTTTTTTTTGCCAAAACAGTAACCAAGGCTAGATGACTCCAAATTTCTCATCATTTTATACCAGTGTTCTAGTTTTAAGATGAGAATCATGAGAAAAAAAACTTTCACTTTATTAATGAAACCTTAGGCTACACAATCTTCATTTAAGTAGCTTAACACTGAATGTTCTTGCATTATTGCAAATGCCCCATAATTTTTGGTTAAGTGCAGTGTCTTGAAGTAGTTACACAATTTATATATGGAATTATTATGCTAGAATTCAATTAATTTCTTAAGTACAGAAAGTTTATGCTTACTACTGTGATGACTTCTATAAAGTTAGGATTATAAAAATATAACTAGTTATCCCTCATCCAATCTGTAGGTGCTGATAAAGCAAGGCCTTAAGTCATGTTAAAGAAACTGAAGAATTCCTGAGCTAGAGTCCATCAGGCATCAGACAGGAACGTTCACAGAAGCAGCTACTATATGGTTGTCAAGTACTATGACATGCCATAAATACACAGACCAAAAGAGATCCAAACAAACTACATGGATACAACAGAATTTGGTAGCAGTCATAGTAATATTGATAGATCACCCTTATGCAGTACTAGTCTCCTACAAGCCAGGCACCAGGCTAAGTGCTTCACAGATCACCTCATTTGATCCTCACAACCCCCCTGGGAGGTAGGTGCTATTATTATCCCCATTTTACAGATGAGGAAACAGAGGCAAATGGAGGTTAAGTGACTTGCTCAATGTCCCACAGCTGGTAAGTGTATGAGATCCAATTTGAACAACAGGTCTTCCTGACTCCAGGTTCTATCCACTGCACCACCTAGGTTTCCTACAAGGGGGACCTACAGCTCGTCTCACGGACTGATCTGGTTTTATACATAAGGAAAATGAGAACTAGAGAGGGCAAGTAAATGGCATAAGGTCACACAGTGAGCTGGGTATAGCTTAAATTTAATATGACTTCTATCTTTAACACTCCTTTTTTGCCAAAAGTTTCCAATTATGTCTACTGGCAGACTTTTTTCCCTGAGAAAATAGCTCAGATTTATAAGAGAAGCTGTTGGAAAAATAGGACCCATTTTATAGCCAACTTTTCCATAAAGCAGTTATTTTATGTAAAATGAGTGCTATCCACATTATCAATACCTTTAAACAACTAATAAATAAAATCATGGAATAAGTTTTTCGCAGCTACATTTCCTACAGCCTTTCTTTCTTACCACAGTAGGAGACTATGCAATCAGCCCTGAGAAGTCCTCTCTGACCACCTAGTCCACATAAGCAGCAGTAATGATGACCCAAACATCTGTTCGAACAATAGTTATTTTCAAATACTAGCTGAGGCAGAGATACCGCTGGTATCTTAAAATGGACTCTTTCATTCACTCATGTCATTTTTTTTACATCCTTTACTTAGAATTACAGACCATTTGTAAAGGAATCTACCCAAAAGAACAAATGTTACACTAATCAAATAATAAGTCTACTGCACAAAAAATGAAAATGTGATGTAAGCCTAGAAGATAATCAATAAAGACACTTGCTTCGTATTCAATCACTTCAATAAACTAAACTACTGTTATGAACGTTTACTGAAGGTACATATCCTAGGTCACAGAAGACAGAAGTTTATGTGATGTATGCTCAATCATCTCATAGATCTAAATTATTTAATTATCCCTGCAGAATATGCAACTCTGTCTGTCGCCTCTTCCTTGAAGTATTCACTAATTTTATAAACATCAATTCCCCCAAGCGTATCCCAAATGGCTAGAAACAACAGCATCCCTTGTCAGCTCCCTGCGCACATTCACTGACTAGCGCCCAGGAACCTCCCCCGGCTCACCTGAGTAGCTGCCGCCTGACAGGAAGGTGACGATGACGAGGAGACAACAGGAATGTCAGACTGTACAGCAGCCACAGTAGTAGCGGGTGTGAAAATCAGCTGTACAGACAGAAAGTAAAAACAAAAAAACAAAGAACAACCCTGAAGACAAAAGAACAGGCCTCACACACATGTAAAGCAAGTAAAAGAGACTGAAGCTGGTGATAGAAAGATAATATCATCTAGAAGCACTCCCTAATCAAAATTCACTATGTCTGAATCTAACTTTTAAATGGTTTCATGTGCAAAAAGATTCTGCTAATTATGAGTAGGAAGAATCTTAACATCTTTATCATACAAGAAATATATTTCATATAAAATAGACTAGCTCAAAAAAGTTCTTTGTTGACAGGAATTCCTCAGAACAAGTGCTCCCAAAAGCTAGCAATTATATATTTAAAAATAAATGTCTAGAAGGAGCCAATGAATTGATCCCAAGTACAAACTAAATCTGTGCAAGAAATCCAGAAAAAAATTCCTCCCCCCAAAAAAAATCCTTTTGCAGTCATCTCTCCTAAAAAGGACAACTGCCCACTACTCTAGCCTAAATCTCTAGGAGACAGAGAGGCAGGGCCCTCCCATGATCATAGATTTAGAACCCTATCGTCCAAATCTTCCATTTTGCAGAGCAGAAAGCTGAGGCCCAGAGAGGGAAAGTAATGGGCGCAAGGCCACATAACTTATAAAGTGGCCAGGCCAGGCCAGGATTTGAACGACGGAACCAATCTAGGATGAAGTAACTTTAAAGACTAGACATGCAGAAAAAGTCGCTACTGAACTATGCACCACAATGAAACATTAAAATGATACAACAGCACAGCCCAAGAAGGCTTCTTGAAAAAAAGGTAACAAGATGATGACAAATGTAAATTTCTTATCACCATCCCTCTTCAGTAGGGAACTTTATTCAATGTTATGTTAGTCCCCATTAATATTCACAACAGAGCATAACCTATTTATAATTATTAGATACAGTGTATTGAAATAACAGGTTATTTCAAGGTTTAACTTACTTTAAAATTTATATTTAGATAAACATAAAATACCTCAAAAGCATTATTTTTTGTTTATATTAAATTGTCAATAAAATGTCGTTAGTATGTTGAATTAAATTAAATTTTAACATTAAAGTATAATTCTAACAAGTAAAACTAAAATTTTATGACATATATGAAAACCACATCTGACTATGAACAACCTAAAAACTATAAACTTCATGTTTCTAGAAAGAATATTGTGTGTATACAAAAGGTAGTCAAAATCCTAAAACTAGACATCTGATAAATCCATGGTGATAATCTATGAATAAAGACAGATAAAATTGCTTCTTCTTAGAAATTTGACTGGAAGTTTCTTGTGGCCTCTGGGGCTGAGACATGAGGGTCAAGATGTGGGGTTTTCGGCCTACATATCTTTCCCCCACTTTCTACAACATCTACACCACTAAGCCTCAGGCAGTTTGCCACCAGGTTAAACACAATTCATCTTCTCAATTCCTCAATCAAACTACAAAATTTGGCAAAGGAAGGAAGACAATATTATAAGAGTAATCTCTCTTTATTGATAATGGGTCAATATGGTCTCAGTACCTCGCATCTGTTTTAAGCAACAATAGCTGCTAAATAAATATTTGTTGAATAACATCTTTAGCTATCCAAACCAACTGGCAGAATATAAAATGGGAAATAATCAATTACGAGAATTATCAAGGGAAATCCCATCCTGGATTGGATAGGGTAAGAAATATCTTCAAATCCCAAATGGCACTCATTGTTTTCAGCACCAAACTTCCAACCAAATTTGTAGTAATTCTATTCCCTGAAAAAGATTCACATTTCTATCTGAAGGGGAACTTTTCTACCTCCAATAACTTTACCAGCTTAACACTTAAACAAACAAAAAATAAATACGAAAAGTCTAAACAGCATTTTATTGATTGAAATGTTTTTAAACTATTAAAGCTCCTTGAAATCTGTCATCACCTAAAGCAGAAGAGGACAACTACCCCACCAATCATTTTAGAAATGTCTTCAATCTAAGAAAATGGATACTGAAGATTCTGGCAGCTCGTGTCTTACCATTTGAGCTCGTAGATACATTTGAGCTTGGCTTGCCGTTAAGGTAGGGGATGTACTCCCTAGTAACATAGTCTGTTGGGTAATACTGCTGCTGGTAGTACTGGAAGCCTGGGAGCGGCTTATTAACTGTGCAGGTGTAGGAGAAGTAGAGAGGTTGATCTAAGGAAGAAAAAATATTTGGTCACAGGCCAAATCTTTTGCTTTAAAGTTAGACCAAGCTACAGCCAGTCAATCAATGATATAAGTTTAAACTGTGGGCCCCCAAAACAAAGCTTCAGAAAGGGCCCCCCTAACCCTTTGTTAAATACAAAATAAAAACACTTTCTAGTGCAAGGGGACGCCATCCTTTCTGTGGTCCCCCAGATTAGGTGATACTTGCACGTAGGTAAGTATTAGCATGTACTGGGTAGCACTGAGGCCAGCTTTTAAGAAAAATAATCGTTTGTTTAAATAAAATGCCTAATCTTCAAGATTAAAATATCATTTCTCCTGCTTTTATAAACAACAATACATCACTATTTCAATATTCTACTTAATAACTAGAACACCCCAGTAATTTAGTTAATAGTACTTTTGCATATTCTATCAAATGGCGGGGATTCTGAACTAGAGAGGGAAAAAAAATAAGACCCTGCTCTAGCACTGCGTGAGAACCCCAGTCTTTGCACCCCACAGAGAGACACGTCTATGCAAAGCAGCTGCTGACTATGCATGGGATCTAAGTGACATCCTGAAGAAAGCTTCTATACAGTCTAGCTCATTCCAGAGGAAGAGGAAATCCTCTGCAAGGATCAGAGAACTGATTCACAGCAGAAACTGGGGAATAAGAAACCCTGAGACTGGCAGCTAGGTGGCGCAGTGGACAGAGCTCTGGCCTTGAAGTCAGGAGGACCTGAGTTGAAATCTGGTCTTAGACACACACAACACATAACACTTACTAGCTGTGTGACCCTGGGAAAGTCACTTAACCCTGATTGCCTAGCAAAAAGAAAAAAAAACCCTGAGGAGAATGAGCTGAGGGCTGGTCTCAGAGTAAGAAGTACAAGCACTTAATGCCCCATCTAAACACACTTAACCTCTCCAGTGTCTCCCACACCTGCTGAAGAATCAAAGGTGCAAACTGACTGATGGGGGGCACTGAGAGAAGGGGCATCCTCACTAGGTTGTTCAGTCATGGATGACTTTTTGTGACCCCATTTGGGGTTTTCTTGATAAAGATACTGGAGTTGTCTGCCGTTTCCTTCTTCAGCTCATTTTACAGATAAGGAAACTGAGGCAAACAGGGTGAAGTGACTTGCCCAGGATCACACAACCAGTAAGTGTCTGAATCTGGATTTGAGCTCAAGTCCTCCTGATTACAGGCCCAGTACTCTATCCACTGCACCACCTAGCTGCCCCCTCCTCACTAGGGGATCCCCACCAAAAATGAAATCAGTTTCAGAACAAAAAATAATCAAGTGATTAGTGATTAAAGACATGGTTAAGAGGTAATGGCTACACAAAAGAAATGAGGAATCCCTGAAGCGCCTGCTGGCACGTGTGCACGAGGAGGAAGGGGAGGAGGAGAAGGAGAAGGAAGCCACAGCTACCCGGGGAGAAGGCAACTCTCACTGACCCGGGAAGGCGCCCAGGCAGTCACACACTGGAGGAGACACGAGAAACCAGAAAGCACATTGGTCCAGGATGATGGAGAGCCTGCTAGCCCCCAAGCAAATCTGGCCATTTGAGTGGGGAAGCGAGCTAAATCTGCAAAGCATCTCCACATAACATGCAGCCTCGGGGGGAGACAGGAAGGAGCAGCACCAAAAGGGGAGGACGCAGAGAAAGGCGTTTTAGTCTAGAGGAAGTTCCTGGTTTGGGCTGACAGCTCAACACAGAATTTTGGTCCCATGGCCAGAAAAGCAGCACACCTCCTAAGAGCTGGAGAGAGGCTTGTCAACCTAAGTATGAGGGGCAGGGGGAAGGAGACAGAGCCAAAAATAAACGTGATGCAGAAACAAAAGGGCACGTACCGGAAAAAATTACACCAATCTGAAGCTGGAAGCACACTAGAGAGCATCCAGGCAAAGAGTCACACAAAAACCCCAGAGGGCTGTGGCTGTGGGAGAATCCCAGACTGGCCGGATGAAGGAATGGAAGAAGATAAAATGCAGACAAAGGCAAACCGAGCAGCAGTGAACGGCACCAACTGCCTGGCCCCTCACTGAGAACATAGTATCCACCTGGAGGCGGGTCACTTTTCAGGAGAAAAGGACCTCAAGCACTGTTCTAGATTACAAAAAGCAAACTAACTGGAGGCACAAAGTCAGCGGGAAGGTGGCAAGACTCAAAAGCATGTCACCCAGGCCCACATGAAAAAGGTCGGGGATAGCTGGCCATGAAAAGAGAAGACGGGGGAGAATGGGGATAAAACTCACTCTGCTCCAAAATCTAGAGCACAGGCCCTTGCTGGAAAGGTAATAAAGACCCTCGTCTAGGTAAAGAGCCTGTATCCCCTTGGGAGGTGGTGAGTGTCCCCATCACGAGGTGTTACCAAGCAAAGGCTGGTGATTACTTGTTAGGGCCTTGAAGAGAGGATTCCTGCATCAGAAGGAGGGCTGGCAAATCAGCACAGTATAGGAGAAAGAACACTGGATTTGGAGCAAGAAGGCCTGAGTTCAAATCTTGCCTCTGCCACTCATTCCCTATTTAGCTACAAATCCTTTCATCTCTCTGGCCTCGATTTCTCAGTTGTAAAATTAAGAGGTTGAACTAGCTATCTCCAAGATTCCATTTGGCTCAAAATTTAATTCTATGATTTCCAAGGTTCTTTCCAACACTAAGATTCTGTGACTTTCAGAGCCACTCATATACAAAAATATACACATGGATGTGATTAGTAAAAGACTTCAGATCCAAAACTCAACAGAAAATGAAACTACCACTTTTCAGAGAGAAAAAATAAAACTGAATACAATCAAGGAATTCAATTACTACCCAACAGATTATTGTCCAAAGGCAGTTTTTAACTATGATTTTTCAAAAATAGCCTAGCGCTATTTAAGAAAAATAGCTCCAAGTACTTCATGTTGTCATTTACATAAATTTGATGAAAAAATTCACAATACAGTATCACAAAGGCAAGAAAAGAATTAGGAATTGAAAACTCCAAGCATACTATAAATATGTGAAAACGCTAGTACGATCCTCTACAGAATGTCAAGAGTAAAAAAAAAATGATACTGTGGCTTATCAAGTAGGTAATAAATGACTTTTATGTGATAACAAAGACAACGGCAAAAGAAAAAATAAGTTTTTCATTACACAACATTATACTCCATACAGAAGTTTTTGGTATTGTCAAAAACAACAAAACATTATCCAGATGTCAAGACGCTGATACAGCCAGAAGAAATAAAACTTGCAAGTATAAGTAAAACTTGGAAAAAGATGCATTAGTTTCCTAAACTCATCTTCTAATTAGATGCCTTCAACAGGAAACTGATTTCTGGGATACCCTCATTGATACTATGATGTTTTAAGGATCTGAGTAAATAAAACTATCATAAAGTATGTTCCTTCTGGGCACTGTTGTTCATTCAGTCATGTCCGACTCTTCACGACCCCATTTGGGGGCTTTCTTGGCAAAGATACTGCAGTGGTTTGCCATTTCCTTCTCCAGCTCATTTTACAACTGAGGAGACAGAGTCAGAGAAGTTAAGGGCTATGCCCAGGGTCACACAGCTACCAAGGCTGAATATAAATTCAAGTCTTTCTGACCCCAGACCCAGCAACTCTATCAACTACTGACTTAACAGATCTTTCTTGTCCTTAATGTCTTTCACCTAGCAACTTCTATGTGGAGTTTTTTTTGTTTTGTTTTTGGTGAGGCATTTGGGGTTAGGTGACTTGACCAGGGTCACACAGCTAGGAAGTGTTATGTGTCTGAGGCTGGATTTGAACTTGGGACCTCCTGAATCTAGGGCCAGTGCTGTATCCACTGCGCCACCTAGCTGTCCCCCACCTAGCAACTTCTTAAGATAATGTGCAGTAAAGAAAGGATGGTCTGCTTTTTATCAAGTCAAGCGCTTAACTAAAAAGAAGTCTGGGTCCACCCCTCCAAATTCTGACATCTCTGGGCAATGCAAGGAATTCTACCACCAAGCATAATAATGATTTTAAAAACATGTTCCTAAGCTAACTAAAAAAAAAACCAGGGGAGAAAATGGAGTCTCAGACCTGTGAGCTAGAAGAAAGATTAAGTGGTAGAAGATGTGGAGATCCGAATCATTAAAACAAGTTAAGCCATACTGATGAGGTCCTTCTTCCTAGCTGGCCAAGAGGACAGCATCTATTTTTTGACGAAACCACACCTAATGCCGTCTCCTCAGCTGGGCCCATCAGGATGATGGCCTTGATTCCCATGGCAGAATGCCCCCATCCAAAACCTAGCCATTCCTCTGACTCTCTTCTTAACTCTCTGTCTGGCCTCTGCCTTCTTTCAGCTCAAACTGCTCTCTGCACAAAGTGGCCAAATCCAGGGGCCTTTTCTCAAGTCTTCCTTCTCCCTGACCTCCCTGTTGATCCTCTCTTCTCCCCAGGTTTTGGAACACCTGTTTCTCCGGGTTCCCCCCCTCTGTATCTGACTGCTCCTCCTCCAGATGATGCCCTCTGACCCTAGGTGTCCCTCAGGGGTCTGGCCCCGGCCCTCTTCTCTTCCCCTCTTTACTACTTCAGCCCCCAAGGAATAGTCTTCTCTATGTAGCTGATTCTCAAATCTATGGATCCAGCCCTAATCTCACTGCTGACCTTTAGTCTCATCTCCAACTGCCTCCTGGATATCTTGAACTAGACAGCCTGTAAATATCTTAAACTCACCATGTCCAAAACTGAACTCATTATCTTTTCCCAAAAACCCTCCCCTTTTCCTGACTGAGGGTACCACCATCCTCCTGGTCACCCATACCTACACACTCACCTAGGTGTCTTCCTCAAATCCTCACTCGCTCACCCCGCCTCGCCTTGCCCCGAACAGTTGATGTGTTGCTAAAAGTCTGAAGACTTCACCTTCCTAACCATTCTTGCACATACCCCCTGTTCTCCTGTGACACTGTCACCAGCCTGCTGCAGGCTCTCATCCCCCACACCTGGACTAGCCAAACAGCTGCTGATGGGTCTGC